TTCTTCTTGTCAAGTTGATGTAGTGCCAGGAACAAGGAGTATATTTGGTTTGAAGAGGGCTGTCAAATCAAACTGTCAGGCTGCACTTTTTGATGGAGTCGTATCGCTCGCTCATCTGTCAGTCAAAGAGAAAGACTGCTGCCAAAGTCAAATTCGAGAGTTGAGAGGAGCAGACTTACATGACATGTCATTGTCTAGGAGAGCAGAAAAGTCTGACGGGCAGAGTTCAGCTCTCGTTTAAAATTTGTAGGGCGTGTTTGCCAAGTAATAAAATGATTGATACAGTGGGTCACTTGAATCTCAACAATTGCTTTGAAATGCTCATAAAGTTTCCTATAATCTGTGATAAAAACTGACTCATCATATACAAAGAGGGCCTACACATTTCAGAGAACATTAATCATCTCAGTGTGGGACACCATAAAAAACTTCTTCTCACAGACAGTAGACTTGAGTCAAGCCGGCCTATAAAATTCAATCATCAGACACAGAGTCAGACATTGTCCTGGCATACCAGAAAATTCCCCGACCCAGGGAGTGTGTCTCTCTGCTGGATTATTATGGTGTTTACTCACACAAGAGGCTTACCCCGAGGCAAGCCCCACACCTCACAAGCCCAGCTGTAAGTGTCCCAGCCCCCTGGAGGAATACTCTGTCCTCCCCTGCTGTCCAGACTCTGTCAGTAACCGGCAGCAGCAGGCAAGCAGCCAGGGCTGCCTGGGAACCTGAAGATCGGTGAGCAGACGGAGCATCAGTGAGCAAGTTATCCACCAGGTAGAGCAGGTGAAGGGAGGTGTAATTTAGAAAACAGCCATTTGTCCAAATCTTGTTCTCTGTGAGAACAGACACTATTCCCTGCACACTTTTATTTGCAAACAGGAACAACTGGCCCTCACATGCACTGGAATTGTTGCCATTGTTCTGATACAGTTTCTATGTCATTGCTCAGAAATATTTCTGTAAACTACTGATCTTTGTTAAGCAGTACTCAAAAAGAGAGTCATGTTGATGCTCATTAATCCCCTCTAGTGGACATTTCTATATGTGTATTCCTATATTCACTACATTGAAGGTAAGAAAATAAAGTATAAAAGTACATTAACCCAACAGAGACTGAGGTTGTTTCTGCTACAGTACTTTACCTGCACTGGAAACCCTCTGTGTTATACATTTAATTAAAGCCTTTAAACTTTTTATAGCAGGATTAAGGTGAAATATGAATGGCATACATTTAAAAAGGTATAACAAAGTATAGATTTATTAATGCTGTTCTGTCTGCTCTAATTATAATGATTAAATATTTTGATCATTTAAAGTTTGTTTAGGTAGATTGACCTCTAATTATGCAAATTATAGGAAGTTTGAGGCATTCATTTAAGAGATTTATGTGGTTCCAAAAGTTTTAAGATGATTATGCATTTTAAGGAATGTTTGTCTGCAAGTCAGGGGTTTGACATTTCTTCACCACTCAGAATACCATTTCTTATGACTAATATATGGCAATATTGTTTGTCTAGCACAAATAAACATCTAATTCTGCTTTGTCATTGGGTCTGCAGCCACACCAAGTTTATACTTCGCTACAATTTTAGCAGTTCTGTTGTTATGTTTTGTTTGTCAAATAATCATCATAATATGCATAAAATATCTAAAAGTATTATTTTTTGTGTGTCAAGATTTTACCCTTAAACCTGAATTAAATTAAAAACATAAGAGAAAAGTTCAGTGTTTCACTGACTTATCCCAGCACTGTAGTTACATATAATGTGATCACGACGCATTCATGCCAGCAACAGATCAACACACAGAAGGTGTCACCCAATCACATGGTCTCTAATTTACAGGGAGCTTGGTGTCATGCTGCTTTTTCTCCACCCTGATACTGGACTCAAAACAGTTTGTTCTGTGATATGAACTTATCAGGCGAGGGCTTGTACATATTTGTCACCCATACACTGAACGCTTGCACCAAAAACCAAACTATTTTCTCCAATTCATCAGTATTAATTACTCCAGACAAAACAAAAATGTCTAGCATCAGTATAGGTGAGCTTCATTACCATGACAACACTGCCCCTCTCTGTATGAATGCATATATTACATGTCTTTTTTTTTTCTTTTTTTTTTTTTTATTGTGCTTATTCTTTTTTGATTAAAAGATCCTCCATATGATCCATTCCTGATATATGACAACGGTTCTTCTCTAATCCTAGATACTTTTCATACTATATAAAGATACAATGAAGGTTATCTATTTTACACGTTCTTGTTATTAAAATCAGTTTGGTTTCCTGTCAGTTGAAAGGTGAAGTGAGTGATTCTAATCCAAAATACTTCTTGTCAAATTCAGTGAATATTTCTTAATGGTCCACTAGCTGTCCGTTCTGTTTGTGTACCCAAAAAAATCCAGTGTTCCTACAAAGCCTTGGTTCTGTAAATGGGCAAGAAACACATTGGCTTCGACCCAGACACAACACTATTCCAGCCAATCAGCAACAAGAGGCATTCATGCCTGTGCACAGGACAAAGGAAAGAGGACGAGGGAAAAGAGGGGAAAAGGGGTAGCTTGAGTGATTGCTGTATTGATTGCTATATTGAACATTGCACTTTAGTTTTTTTGCTTTCTAATTTTGTTGTTGAGTTGAAATAAAAGATCTAAGATTTCTTCTATACACACAGAGGCCATATTTCTCTAAAATTTTGATCACAAATGTGTTTAAATCCTTGATAGTGAGCATCTCTCCTTTGCAAAGATAATCTATCCGCCTGACAAGTGTGGCATATCAAGATGTTGATTACAAACCATATTTATTGCACAGGTGTGCATTGGGCTGGTCACAATAAAAGGCAACTTTAAAATGCCCAGTTTTATCACACAACACAATGCCACAGATGATACACGTTTTGAGGGAGAGTGCAATGACATGCAGAATGTCCACCAGTCCACCAGAGGTGTTGCCTGTGAAATGAATAGTCATTTCACTACAATAAGGTGTCTCCAATGTCATTTCTGAAAATTAGGCAGTACATCCGACCAGCCTAACAACCGCAGACCACATGTAACCATGCCAACCCGGGACCTCCACATCTGGCTCCCTCACCTGTAAGATCGTCTGAGACAAGCCTCCTGGACAGCTGCTGCAACAGTTTATTTGCACAATCAAAGAATTTCTAATCTAAAATGTCAATGCCTGATAAATGGGAGCAAAAACAAAAGTGTTGCATTTCAATCTTTGTTCAGTGTATTTTTGCACTAGCTGTATTGGAAATAAAAGGACTGAGCTGAATTACATATAATACAACACTGCATGTCTGATATACCTAATAGGGGATCCAGCACAATCAATAACAGTAGTAATAGTTTGAACAGAATGAGTAGTGCATTGTATTGTAATATGTACTATGAGTATTATTGGGAAGTTACATAAATTACATAATATGGTGGCAGAAATATAAGTACATATTAGTTATAGTTTAGCTACTTGTAGTAAATAAAGTGATAACAATAATAAGTGAAACATGCAGAGGAGAAATTTATAGAAGTTATATAAATATATAAAGGGACATTTTAACTTATTGTAACTTCCAACATTTTTGACACCACAAACAAATATTTTATATCCGTCCATTCGGCAGGGTCTTCCGTCTCTCACTTGACTGACATTTTTGGCAAAGTCTGCTACATGTTGTATCTCACAGCAGCTTCATCTTAGCACACGGGAACTATTTATATAGCCTACATTTTTAACTGTAAGTACACTGATCAGACACAACATTAAAACCAGTTGCCAGTTTTACTGTTGCAGCTAATCAGCATATTTTCAAACAAAGCGTTGCATCCTGAGTAATGATACCAGTCTGAGATAGAAATCATTCAGCAGCACACACGTTGTTATAAGTCACCTTTGGGGACCATTACTTGCCTAACCCCAACATAAGCCAAACCTTAACCACTGAACCGTGAATATGCTCTCTCCCTATTGGGAACACTGCTTTTGTCCCTAGATGAACAAGCAGTGTCCAATTAACTTATCTTTAGTCTGAAATTTGTCCCCAGATGTAGCCTAGGACAAAACACAGACACACACACACACACACACACACACACACACACACACACACACACACCTCTGTAATCTAAACTCCAGTTTAATAGATCTTCACAATTAAAACCAAAATAAATGAATGTAATTGTGATGATATATGATATGTTGATTAAACGAAAATCACACAGAACCTCAGTTGTCAGGATTTATGTATTGATTGCTGAAATGTTCCTAAACGCCCTCCTGCAGATTAGTTTCCGACATTCTCTGCTATGAAGCTTAGCTTCATCCTTTTTTTTTCTTTTTTTTTAGCAGCCAGCAGTTCAGCCGCTTTTTCATAGTCAGCAAGAATGAAAAACTGCATCTTGATTTGTTATATTTCCTGACATCTTCTAATGAAAAGTGACATGCATTTTGCACGGAGCAGTGGGTCCTTATAGTGGGCGTCCGTTTATAGTCCTATCATAAGAGCTGCAGCAGATCATATGACCCTCACTGACTAACCGAATTTTTTAACGTTGGTTTAAGCAGGAATTCACTCAGTCGCTCTCAGACCAAACAGACGATCCTCTAGACGCAACTTTGAGGTGAGTTGTTTTGTCGTGAAACGGTTTATAGGTACAGGTGGGTTTCATTTCGGAAGTCAGGTCTTAGCTCGTTAACATATTTTTCATATTTTGGAAGAATCTGTCCAGTTCATTTGGTTTATCAAGTATGTATTTCATGACCCATTTTCCGTGTGTATGGTAATTTTGGAGTAGCTGTATTGCTTGTTTTACATTTTCCTCGAAGTGTCGCTGCTAAACACAAAGGCAGTCACATGATAGTAGTATCCAGACTCTTAAACTCACACTGTACTGACGTAAACGCATCAGAAAGTCTCCAATGCTGATCATACTGCTCTAATCGCGGAGCTTCGCCTTTACTCGCGGTATTACGGTTTAGTTCCCGGCCAACAAGGAAGTGCCTCAGCTGGGATCACTATAATCGTGTGGGGTCACACTTGTCGTTAAAGTGATGTCTTTTCGTAATGTTTCCAAAGAGGCACTGGTTGGATCCATCACACTGGGAGCCGTTTTTGTCGCCGGTTATTTCTTTGGTAAGAGCGAAGGCTTTGATGTAAAGCTTTGTCGCCAGGACACCTAGTTAACCTGTCAGCAGCAGTGTGTGTGTGTAGGGTGACTTACATCAGTAGAGGGCAGTGAGAGAGCAGTTTTTGGACTCCAAATATACTGGTTTAATGTAGATCTGGTGGTATTACAGGACCTGCAGAGAGGAGGATAACGGTGAAACCATTTGTAGCGTCATACCAAAAAAAAAAAGCTGCCTTTAAGTGGAAATCCAGCCCAAAAGTACAGCGATTTTCAGTGTCTATCTGGGCTTATGTTGTCTGGATCATGGGGAAACCAGTTAATTCACTCTTTTTTGTAAACAGTTTTTTTAAGTGTAGTATGAAATCTAGCACGTTGGATTTTTTTTTATTTTTTTTTTTTAAACAGTTTAACAATTGAAATTGGGCAATAATTATTCTCCCCTAGACTGTGTGATACAGTAATATACTGCCTTTATTGTGCCCATCTTTGCACTGTGAACTTCAATTTGGTTGTTTTATAAATTAAGAAAACAATGCAAGTGATGCTTTAAGGATTTTGAACAAATTTCAGAGGTTTATGTAAACAAATAAATGCTGCCAGAAGTGACCTACAATTGAGTCTTTATCAGTTTAGATTACATATCAGTTTAGATTACATAACACAGCAGTTTGCTGTTAAATCCTGTGCATTATCAATAGAAAAAAGTAACTGACTGTATTCACATGACTGTATGTGTGTATGATCCATAGCCCAGAGACACTGACTGGGGTTTACATAATTGCACAGATTTACTAGTACAGAGGCACTCAGTACAAAGTCCCCCTCCAGCATTTATTGACCCTAAAAATGTTAATTACAAAACTACGAAACATTCAAAACAAAATATCAGGTTCAGAGTTCCTTAAGTGATATGTACAAACACTAGTGCTGCAACCTGGTGAATATTGGAATCTTCTGGTGCACATGCAAACCACTAAAGTAAGGACACTGATGTCACATGGATATGTGGCTGATTCTATACCCCTCAAGCTACCAAGCTATATTGTCTCACAACTTCCAGTATTCATTTCTTTATCTGTATCTGTTGCTGCTGGTGCAATAATTGCATTTCCTCACTGAGATCCTCCAAGTTTTATCTTACTTCAACCAAAAAATACATTAACTAGACCAGACTTCAATTTCTTGGGAGATGTATAAGCTGGATGGTAAGTCCCATGACATCATTATGCTCTTAAGATCCATATAATTTGCTTCATTGTTCATGTTCATCCTCAGGGAAAAAGAAATCTTCCACAATGAGCATCTCCAAAAGTCACTGCGAGGGAAAAGACAACCCACTGATGCAGTACGTCCTCAATCATTCCATGAGGGAGCATCCAGTTCTGACAAAACTCAGAATGGTAAGGATGTCTTAGTATCTGGAATAAATCTGTCATGAGATCTAATCAAGTTTCACAGTGTAATTTGTGAAATTGATGCAACTGGTTTCCATGTGTTGCTTTCAGAGGACAATGGAAGACTCCTGGAACATCATGATGGTTGCCTGTGAGCAGTCGCAGTTCATGGCAAATCTGGCAAAACTAATACAAGCCAAGAAAGCATTAGAGATCGGTAAGGGTATTAGATTTAACATCATGTCCAGCGTGCACATCAGTCCTCCACAATCTTTTACTCAACCTTAATTTAGAACCATAGTTTACATGTTTTACAATAAGTGCATTAGTGATGCAAAATGCACCATTTTTCCTTACAGTTCAAATTTCATAAGTTATGTAATGTTTAGCATACACTACCATACTACTATACTACCATGACTTTACATTTGGTCTGGTGTTTTTGTCAGTTTTATAATTTAGTTCTGAAGTAACATCCTTTACTCATACTATATTTTTTAATGTTGAAATGACACATAAACTGTCAAACAAATATAAGTTTGCATCACTTCACTGCTATCTCTGCAATACTTTCCCTGCCCAAAGTCTTTATGGCCAAGAAACTGGTTTCTCCACAAGTAATCTAACTGGGGAAATCAGGTTTCTCTATTCTTCTGCTACAACCACATAAAACAGGTTTTTTTATATACCTGATATTTAAGAAATCAGATTATTTCCAAAAGCCAACAGCAACCCAGTTAGTTAAGTGCCTGTAAACCCACTGCCTGTGTAAAAACGCAATCTTATTCCAAGTTACTTTAAAAGTGTCCATTTTGCCCTTTCTATTGTCGTCCATCATGTTGACTTTAGTGCCTTCTCATTTGCATTTGCAGGAGTATACACAGGTTACAACACACTAAACATCGCACTGTCTTTGCCTGACGATGGCATTGTGGTAGCATGTGATGTCAGTGAAGATTACACCAACATTGGAAAACCCTTCTGGAAAGAGGTACAACTCACATTTAGGTTTCATTATTTGTGACAACACTGTTAATGTTGTGGGGTTTGAAATATGATACATGATGATATAATACTGCTGTATTATTCCCATACTGCAAAGTGATGATCAGTGCAGAGGATTTTCATGCACCACAGGTAATAGATGTGCTTCTGGAGTTCTGTTTGATGCAAGTTTGTGCATCTGCATGTGGAGCAGACTTCACTGTCTGAGTCTTTTGTGTCATAAAAAAACGACTGTACTGCCAAAGGATGCGGCAAGCCACAAAACAATTACCAATCCAAATTAATCAATTATTCTGACTAGGGCTGTCACAATATCAGATTTTCACTACACATTTATCGTGGCCAAGAGATTTCACAATAACAATATCATTGCAATATCTACAGAAAATTAAAAAAAAAAAATAATAAATTAAAATAATGCTATCAGTCAAATTCATCTTTAACTCTGTTGTGCGTTTGTCTCTTTTTTGGGAGATGAATTAGACTCAAATACAAGTCTAAGGAGGTGGAGAGAGAGTCTGTAACAATAACTGTACATAAGAGAATAAAAAGAGCAATTACACTTTCTTAACCAGATAAACTGATAAACAAAATATTCACAAAGCCTAATATGTTCCATCACAAAATTATCTTTTGTATCACTAACACAATAATCAATAAAATTAAATCTTTTTAAAATATTCTTGTATCTTTCTTTTATTCCAACAGGCTGGAGTCGAGCAAAAAATTGATCTACGCTTACAGCCTGCAGTGAAGACTCTAGGTACAGTAATACATCTGTTTTCTTAACTCACTGTTCTTAATTTGACAGGAGGTTTACAATTTCCTAATGAAAAAGTTAAGAGTCTTCCAAGAGGCTTGTGCCTTAATTTTCCTGAAATAATACATCTCGTGGGATTAAAGGCATTTCACATCCACGACTGCTCTTATCTCTCTGGGGCTGTTGCTCTGCCATTGCCTTAGCTAGAGGGTTAAGGTTTATGAACTTTAACCAGTCTAACCCAATTTCTGTGTCCTGTTGATATCATCTAAAGACCACAAGAGGTCACTGTATCAGAGGTTTAACTGAGGTTTTTGAGTTAATAGAATTCAGGTTTCTACAGCTCAGATCTGTATTCATTTCTAAAAGTTTAACTCTTTTACCAAGTATGTTCTTATCTCAATTAATTTTGATATCAGAAAGATTATTACTGATAATATGACAAACTTAAGAGGCCAATTCATAGCAACCATGTACTGATAAATGCACCAGCACAAGTTGTACCAGCAAGGACATGCGATCAGTTTGTCAGCAATTTATGCAGATGAGCTGCTTTCTCCAGTTCCCTGGCCAATTTGTACACTTCTACAATGTAATGCAATCCAGTACAACAGCTCTACCAAATATTCTTCCTTTATGAAGCTTATGAAGGTCATTTTTAATACCTTTCAGAGAGGTGTTAATTCAACTATGTGAGGTGATGTACTGGCAAAACATTAGAAACACCTCTCAATATAGGACAGTCCAGTACTTTTGTACTTTTACTTAAATTAATAAAATGTTGAAGCTGAAATCGGTTTCCTTAATTACCAACTCAAAACCCAGTTGCCTCTGAGCTAAAGCCATTCAGATAAGCCATGTTGTTAAATAACACAACAGACCTTGTGGTTTTAACCAAGATGTAACATAAGGTGTGTAAGGTTTGGGTTAATACCTGGATTCTGGTTTTCTCTCCATAGAGATCCATTTGCTGCTCTTTGCTTTATCCCTCGACGTCTGTAAAAATGTATGGGTGAATTCTTTCTGAATCAGTTGAATACACAAAGAAGGTATGTTAGTATTTTGGTGTGAGTGTGAATTACACAATGACATCAACTCAACTTCTTCTCGGAGGCGAAAGGGAACCCAGTACAGTGCAGACATGTACGTCAGTGAAATGAAGTGTTACAGTCCTTACAGTATCTTGCTTGTATAACTAATACTGTCAAACAAATGTAGTGGAGTAGAAGGTACAACATTTCCCTTTGACATGTAGTGAAGTGGAAGTATAAAGTAGCATAAAATGGAAATACTCAAATAACATACAAGTACCTCAAAATTGTACTGAAGTGCATTAGCTAAGAGTAAATGTACTCAATTACTTTCTATCACAGGTAATACAATTATTTAGCCTTCAGCACACGTAGATTTTAATATTTTAAACCAACCATTAAAAACTCCTGAATCCCTGAGTGAAAAGGGGGTGCGTCTTATAAAAGCTGATGTCAAAAAGGTAAAATAAACCACCAGAGACACAAAACACATTAAAATGAAATAATAAACTCTATATTGATGTCAAAACGTATCTCTACAACAGCGAATCCTTAATTGTCTTACTGCTCGTGACTTAGCGCCAGTGTTTGCTAAAATACGATAATTTATACATTTTATATTGGTAATGAAACGCCAGGCCAACGCTGAAAATTAAAGGGTGCGCAATCAGCTAGCTAACATTAGGTAACAAAACTGTAACTTCAGGCAAAAGTTAGAAACTAGCTAACATTAGCATTCATCCGTAGATACTTGACACAATCCAAATCAGAAACTCTGAAAATAAGAAAGTAAAGTGTATTAAACAAGACTGATAGTTTGCAACTGCTACTTATATTTACCAACAATGTCCGGGCGACGCACAGCTGCAGAGAATTGATTGAGTCAGGTGTGGAAGCTCTACCAATACATCCGTGGAGTGAGGTAGGCAGATGAGACGTTCACCTGGAGTAAAGGTTAAGAAATGGTATGGTCCACGTTAGGGGTAGCTGAAATCGTACAACAAGATTTTTCAAGGCATGAACATGGGAAATATATTTTAACATTTACAATTACAGGTAAGAAGGATATATAAATGTTTCAACCCCGGGCTCGTTGTTTTTACCCCTGTTTGGCGGGTCCAAGTCTTAATCAGGGGAGTCATAACCCCCAGTCCCCAACATTTTTTTTCCACTGAATGAAATGCTAAAAGGCGGAGTGAGCGTGATGACATTTGGTGACGTCAGGTGTATAAATCTTCGAGATTATATCATGTTTTATTTTATTTATTTCACTTTATTAATCAGCATACAGAAATGCTAGTATACCTACCAATTTATTACTAATAATTTAATTAATATAATTCAGAGTATTTAATATCAAAAATTGAATAAATATGTTTAAACAAACGCTATGTATAAAATTTACCACCTGTTTATTGTGTATACTGTTTACACTACTTGCTCATACCTTTAGTCTCAGATCTTAAATCTTACATCAGTCATTAATTACATTATGGTGTCTATATACTTCATATACATAGAGTTTATATTTTACCTATTTAAAATTTGAACTGTTCTCTGTTTATCCACATTGTTTGACCACATCAGCCTATATCACATGAGAAACTGCACTTTTTTCTTACCTCCTGAGTGATCTGTCCATCTTGTAGTTTTTATTTGTTTTTATCCCTTGTTTGTATAGTGCTGGATTTCATGGATATCCCTTCAGATAAATAAAACATCCATCCATCCATCCATCCATCCATCCATCCATCACAGAAAAACCTTTGCATTTGCTTTACTGTTAGACAGTGTGGTGAAGGATTCATAACACTGCTCTCAAACTGGACATTGACATACTTTCCCCTTGAGGCCATAATATTTTCAAATCACTAATTCTTTTGTCAGCATGAAGACATAAAAATCAAATTAATATATTCAGAAAAAAAATGTCACTTCACTAAAGCTGCTGTCACACATTTGTGGAGACACAGCAGCTGTAAAACTGATACTATTTCAGGTTTACAACATGATCAAAATGGAAAAAATCTGCATCTTTATAGTTTCTTTGATAATGGGTTAAAATGATGGATAATTTAAAGTGAACTTATTTTACTCCATTTGCATTCAGAATCTTAGAGGGTCTTTCCAAATGTGTTTCTCCTCTAGCAGTGGGGATTCTTTTTATTGGCAGGAGACAGATGTTTGGTAACAGCTTTCGCACATGATGCAATCTTAAGTATAATTTTTTTTTTTTTTTTTTTTCCAGATGATCTCCTTGCTGCTGGCCAGGCTGGAACATTTGACTTTGTCTTCATTGATGCAGACAAAGTTAACTATGACAACTACTATGAAAAGTCTCTGCAGCTGTTAAGAAAAGGAGGCATCATTGCTATCGACAATGTAAGGCCTTTACCCAAGACAAATATTTAAGTTTGACTTCTAGTAGTAGGATTTTCCAAGCAGCTAATCCTATAAACACATTTTTCCTGCAGGTGCTGTGGGGTGGGAAGGTGCTGAATCCATCTCCTGATGATGCAGATACTGTGGCCATTGACAAGCTGAACAAGAAGCTGCACAAAGATACTCGTGTCAGCCTCAGCATGCTCACAGTGGGAGATGGGCTCACACTCGCCATCAAACTTTAGGGTGACTGATAATTGCAATGCTTTATAGGCTTTGGAAAGTAACACTAGCAGACTATGTATTGGGGTGTGTTAAGGTAGCTGTTACATACATATGCATTGTCTGGGCCCACGTTACTAGAGGTTAATGTGAAGATCATGAAACACTGTATTTTCAACTAATTTCAATGTCAGTTTTATTACAGGACAAAGTGCAGTGTTTGAAAGTAAATGATTTGATTAAAAAAACAATCTGTACATGCAGTTTCTTTTGAGTGCATCATTATTTAACCAATTAAATGTCATACCATTCTTCACACTGTCTAATTATGCACTGTAGTCAAATTACAGGAGAGGATAATGGTTGATTTCAGGACTTTATTGCAAAGGTAGACACACACCAACACACAAACTGCTTCCAGATTAGTGTCACAGTCCTCAAAAATGGGAAGAAAATAGATGATACACTCAGATATTCTCTCACTCATGTGACACTGAGGAAAATAAAAATCCATTTAGCATTTTCTTGCAACTTAAAAGCAGGTATTTAAGGAAGTGGAGGTCTAAAACGCACCGCACAGCACAATTAAGCTTCTCTAGGAAGATAAGTGAAGACCAGCCAGTCTTGATAAGCATATTTTGTTGGAGTAACACTTCCAACAGGCAGAACATCACTACCAAAAATAAATAAAATGTGCAAATAAAACAAAGGAGAAAGAGCTTCAGTATAGGTAGGTATTCTACTGTGCAAAATAACGGCTCAGATTTACATTCTATAGTATCACACTTGAGCAAAATAATGAGGTTCTGGTTTTTTAAACCATTCCTGGATTGTCAAACTAAGGAAGCCAACTTTCAACACCCAGAGGAGGGGTTTTCTTTCATTATGGAGAACAAATTGGCAGAAGGAATAACTGATTAAAAAGTAGATGTGACTAAAACATGACTAGTTATTGTAACCACGATGAAGGTAGGCTACTGGAAAGCTTTCCATCTTAACAGTGCTTGAGAACTCGGCTTGTTTTTTGTTTTGTTTTGGCTTCATCTCTTTAAAATGTCTGTTGCTGACCAGACAGAAACTCTCAGGTCAGATTCAGCTGATATACTTCTTCTTCTAATGAAATGGCAGAGCAGATCCTCATGCCTCCAACTCCAGGCCCAGACCTAGTTTGTGACCACCAGCGTTGATATTCTTCCCATCCACCAGTGCGGAGAGGAGGAGTTTCATACCTGGAATAAAAATTTAACATCACTTAACAAGTGACATCAAGGTCCATAATGTTTGGTGGTGTTTATAATTCTATACTAAAGTAGATTTGGCTCTTACCAGGCCTCAGAGTCTGGGTGTATCCAATTCCTACCAAGCTGGCATTATTCACCTTAGCCTGGAGAAAAGCATATCATGTAACTAGAAAGCACTGAATGAGCACATCTTAATCCAGAGCGACATAAAAACGCACAGTAATAATCAAACATCATTATTCCTTATACCATGACCTAATTTCCCACCAAATTTGACCACATTTTTCAGATGTCCTGCAGAAACTGAAAGGTAAATATAACCTCCTTGGAACTTACTGATATGGAGGCACTGGAGTCTAACTGGTATTTGGCAGCAATTCCAAAGCGAGTGCCGTTGCTGCCTGCTGTCCAGGCAAGATTCACAGCGGTCTCCAGTTTGTCATTCACCTTCTGATAAATGGATCCGCCAAACTCTGAACCATCGTTTCTGGAAAAAAAAAAAAAAAAAAAAGTTTTACCTGACAAAATACCACATGATCAGCCAATCAGGGACTTCCTTGGAAAGCTGTTAGTGTTACTCTGCAGTTAAGGTACTCATCCTTGAAATATTTGTTGATCTTAAAACATACACATTGGTGTGGAGCTGGAAGTCCCCAGTCTTGTAGCCAACTGCAAAGTTGCTGTGGGTCATCTTGGATTTGGCTGTGTCAAAGGTCATCTGGTAGCCAGCCAGCCAGCCCTCATAGCCAGCTACTGCTGCTCCATGGATAGTAGGACCAGCAAAATCTAAATCTACATCAACTCCAGCATTAAGGTATTCCCTTTTATAAGCTGTCTTGACCTTGCCACTCTTCTTGCTGTGAATGAAAAATGAAGAAGCAAAGTTAGAAGGGTGTTCTTTGAGCAGTGATTAAAGTCATGGTTTTCCAATTAAAATATAAACTGTAGCTTACCCAGTGTTTGGTGAAAATGTAGTGTCAAAAGTAAGTTTCAGCCCTTTGGTGATCTAAAGAGGAAAATCATTCCAACATCACACTTAATTTAGAGTAATGTATCATTAGTGGGATAATCAGCAGCATCACAGAGTTTTCAATTTACCTGATCCTCAACACAAATTTCTGTTCCAAGTGTGTTTTCTGTGGTCCACTTCTCTGTGAACGTCAGCCCATACTCAGCCCACCTGTACTTGGTTTCCAGGGCTCCAGTGACCTTGCTGGTGTCTATGTTGGATGAGCCGGACGTTTTAAATTCCTAAAGTGAATACAAGTGGACATTAATTCTACCTGAAAACAATACAGGTTAAGAAGTTCATCATCTATCACTTACAGCTGAAATACATTTACGGAGTGTCTTGGTAAGTGAAGGGTTACAGCACACGGCACATAACCTCAACATCCATGGTTTGAGTCCAGCCTGGGACCTTTGTTGTATGTCATGTTGTATGCCCTCTCTCTTTCTCCTTGTTTCCTGTCTGCCTCTTTACTATCAACTGTCCAACAAAGGCAAAAAATGCCAAATAAAAATCTTAAAATCTTTTTTTTTTTTTTTTTTTAAAAAGAAGAAATACATTTACCAAAATGTACCGAGTTGAAGATTTTACAGTTGAAAAATAAACTTTAAAACAAATGACCTCATACATAGTCTGGCATTTTACAGCAATTACTTAACAATTACTTATCAGCCAATATATATGCTGATAATGTACTATCACTGATAACAGGAAATCAGCTGATAATTCCTACAACGCACTACTATATATTTTTATTAGCAGTTCAGCTCACCACTCCACTTGTAGACTTTGTCTTCACATCAAGCTTAACCAGTCCAAAACCTGCAAGGACAGTGACAAAAAGGAACTACTTCTTGGGCTTGGTAATGCATTTCAAACAGCGAGCCTGTCCTCTGAAGTTCAATAAATACACCCTTATATAAGTGCCTTTTATCTTGCTTCCAGTTACCGTATCCCTTATTGAAGATGTCCTTTGCTGATTTTCCAAGGTCTGTATATGCTGGAGGAACTGCCATTATGCCTGTCACAAAAAAAAAAAAAAAAAAATTGTAGTGTGGTTTAAATGGTGACAAAGGTCCATAAATGCACTTGCTTATTGAATCTATGCACGTGTACATGTCAGAAAAATATGCATTTTCTTACTAATAAGGTGTTAAAGTGTAAAATATTAGTATTGCCAGACACCTGCATTACGGTCTCCATTGCTCTTCTTCTGTTGTCACGGCTATTCATTGTCAAGGTTACACTGGAGGCTTGTCTGAATCACTTCACTGTCTGCTTACAGTAACCAGGTACATGTCTTTTTTTCGGCATGAATATTATTATCAAAGCAGTCGTTTGTATAACAAAATGTTTAATAAAGTATGTGCTGATTAATACTACAATTTAAATAAAATCAGAGGCATTTTGTGTGAATTAGATACATGTACAGGTAAACATTGCTGGTCGTAATTTTTACTATTCAAATAGGAATGAACCTTTGCCAGTGATAAGAAATATCATCTACACAGTCAGTATATTTTGAAGGGGTTTGAACGCAGTGTGGTAGGGTACGTTCTCTAGCTAGCAAACGGGACGCTTGAGAGCCATCTTGCCGACATTCCAACGAAATACAACATTAACAATATGAGTAATTATATGGTTAATTACTTACTAGTATTAGTGTTGTTGTTGTTGTTGTTGTTGTTGTTGATGTTGTTGTCAACTAATGAGATAACAAAAGATGCAGAAAAAGCGGCAGAGACAAGTGTAGGACGTTATGGAGGAGACACCGCAACAAACACCCTCCTGACCTCGGCGCCGCCAGGACCCGAAATTATAGCTGCTTATTTTGTGCCTGTTTGAAATCGGAGCGAGAAAATCATTTTGTGATTCTTGGCCAGTTAATTCAGTATTTTTTCTGTGGTTTGACAGCAGCAAACGTAATTCTTTTCGTTTGCAAACATTTTTCTTGCCATAATTGTCCTATGAGCATACCGGCAAGTGGAAGACTGCTAAGTCACCATGGCAACCAATAAGCTAATGTAACTGAATACTTGTCTTTATCTTATTTACTTATTTTAATCTTACATATAAATAATATATAGTGCAGAATTGTTATATTATTGTTTATCATCCTTTCATCAAATCTAAGTTTTGCCCACTAACCATCACGTGCTTATTGCTTGACATGCACAGCAAAGAATGGCTTTCAACAACTTTATGAACTATTTATATTTTATGCCTGCACACAGTATCTATCTATACCACACATTAACTATATGGCTGTGCAGTGATAGAAAAAAAAATAAAAAACTGGTCTTTGATTTCAGCTCTTTATTGATGGAAATGACAGGACAAGACATGAAACAAGTTATGTGGCTTTGCAGAAGCAATGAACATAACGGCATCTTTCCTCTATTAATGGTCATTGTCATTCAGAATATTGATGTTCCTAACGTGCTGTCATGACCAAAGCAATGACAACACCTCTTACTAGTGGCAAGTTTCACTGGATGAAATGTAGAGGCCAATCTGAAATCAATATTACACTTAAATAGCACATTGTGTTTCAAACAAATACATAGTCAAGAGCAACTGTAAACATATTTCTCCATGTGCATGTTGCTGTAACTCTGTACATCAAATATAAAAATACCTATCAACATTTACAAAATGAAATAAATTAATATTAACAAATTCCTACAAATTTAAGGGTCCTTTTTAAGAACTATCACCACAGATTAATGTCAAAGGATTAATATCTGGGAAAGCTCAGATGGTACTAAGGTCTTTTCATTTACACTGTATGATGATTTAAAAAAGCACTATACAACTATCCAACAGTAAACATGATAGACTTGGGACATTTCTACACAGACAAACCTATCGTGAGACTCAAGGTAATTGGCAAATGGAATTATATTTAAGACAGCTGGAAAAAAATCTTTCATTCCAGGTTTTTGGCCGATAAAGACATTTCTTGAATGCATCTTTTCCAGGACTGGTAAAGAAAAAGCAGGCTGCGTAAACAATAAAAACAAAGTCAATATATGTTGCAGTTTATCTTACGTTGAGCCATCAATTTCTCTGTCAGCATTCAGTAACATTGTCAAAATGTAAGCATAATCTCAAGGAATGCAGAAGACTTTCAGAACATCTGCTTCTCAAAAAGATGAAAAAATTGCAACATAGAAACAAGCAGTACTGTAAGGTAAATCTTTACATATTGCTTCACCAGTGGTCCACAGTTATGTTTTGATAAATTACAAAGTGGGATGTAAAACAAAACTTTCAGTCAAGAATCAAGATCAAAACCTTGAAATGATTAGGTATTTCAATTGCATGAGAAATGCCTAACTGCTGGGAAAGATAAGATACACTGTTGCCTGAGAATTGTCTGATGTAGCTTCCTTTTATCCTGTGCTATCCATATACTAAGTATATTTTAAGTTGGGAGGTACTGAAAAATGCAATTCATGCTACATAAAATGATATCCCTTTAGAAGAAAAATGAGCAACCAATCAATGAGACATATCTCCACTGTATTCAGTTTTCAAATCAAGCAAAGAGTGTTAATAGGGCTTTTAAGAGACTCTACAGGGTTTTGTCGATTTTGTTTAATCCTCATAAAAATGGTGACAGGGGAAGTAGTTAGAAGCTACATCCCAGAATATAAGGAGGTATGGCTCTGTGTATCCCATCAGGCGTCGGTGCTGACAGGATGACATCAGGTGTCTTTGTTGATGAGGATATCACACATCGCCTCAGTTGGCAACTTGACAAAGCAGACAAAACAGCACAGGTTAAGTAGTGTCTGACAGAACCGCTGCTGCTCCCGCTCTTTATCCAATCAGCCGCCTCATCACAGCAGGTTTAGAGAAGGGCCAGCAGTACTCGTTGGGGACGGGCCCGTTAACATTGCACTCGAAGAAGGAGAACATGGGGAACCAGATGCGCGCTCGTCGACTCTGCTGGTAGGCCCGGGTGTTAGCCAGAGTGTGGTAGTATAGGAAGAGTCTGGTAGTGATGTAGAAGGCTATGAACACGTCGATGGAGTAGTGTTCATGTGCAGCCAGGATGAAGAAGATGCCGAAAAGATTGAGGACCCAGGACAAGGTGTGTATGAAGTTCCAGCTTCGTGGAGTGTCTGTGTAAAAGAAGCAATAAGAGCAGTTTTGAATACTTATTTGGATTTACACTATACCAACCAGCAGTATAGCATACTCTTATGTGAAAGGCCATTTCTGTCCAGTTCAGACTACAGCTGTGTACTTTTTAAATTTCAGTTGTAGTACCAAAGAAAAACACTGTGTGGCGACAAAAGGACAATATTCACAAATATGGTTACACTCTCATGATTTAGTATTTTAACCCTGTTTTCACAACTTCAGTTCATAATTTCTCATGATGTTCATGAATGAATAAGAATGAAGACAAAATCTGGCAACCACTGTGACATTTCAAGGTTATTTAAGTGTTCATACCAAATAAAAACAGCTCGTAACTCATATTTCAGTGTGTGTTTAGTGCATTTACATCTTGTGTCACTAATAAAAAGATTATTTCATCATTTAAAATCTAGATGGATGGATGGAAAATGATAAGGCTGAAATTGATCTGAATTTGTGAAAAGACCGGAGTGCCTGTAAATCTGTCAAGTTAATGCTTCAGATATTCATGAACCTGCAATATTAGGGGAGAAGCCACATAGTTAATTTGAGCTCAAAGATCATTAATGGAAGACTTGGCATTTTAAGAATCAAATTCAGTTATTATTCATTATTATCATTCTTCCAAGTTCATTTCACCATAATATTAACATTAAAGGTTTAAGCGGCTCTTGAAGTATAAAGTTAAGTGTTTCTGTTCCCTGCTGAATGTAAATCAAAGCAGCTAGACTGTGTCAACAGAAGCTACTCACACTCTGTGACGAAGAAGTTGAGCATGGTGAGGACCACGGTGTGACCGCTGAACATGTAGTCACCACATGTATGCACTCCTGTCAGGGTCATCCCAAAACCACTCCAGATGGCCACAGCTCGCTGCAGTTTGGCCCACATGTCGCCATATATCTAGAAGGAGGGAGAAATTGAAACAATTAATACTACTTTCCAGAAGGCACAAATGTAGTGTTTAAGATATGATACATTCAAAACAGATTAGCGTTACCTTTCCCGAGCACTGCAGGTGCTGTCCTGGCACTGACAGGGAGGTGACAAACATGGTGATACAGCGCAGCATGAACACAGTCCCCATGAGGCTGCACATGCGTCGCAACAGGATGGACCTACAAATCATGAGAAATAATCATCCTGACTCTTCCGCGTATTTGATTTATGGGACACACTGTAGGTGTCCCACAGAACAATCCCTGCAGTGACAACATTGCACTGCATTGATGTGAAAGACTGTCAGGACTCTACCTGTGTTTATGCAGCAGCAGAACAAGCAGCCAGATGTTACAGAGGATCACTCCACATGCTTCAGCCATGGCAAAGGCCCAGGGTATTCTAGGCACGCTATTGAAAAGGGAAAAAAAAAAGAGCTCAGTGCTGAAACAACTCGGTGCTTAATTAATCAACAAAAACTAAATCGAAAATAATTTTGGTAAATCATTTATCAACCAAAAATTCCAAACATTTCCTGATTCCAGCTTCTCCAAGTGAGGATTTGTTGCTTTTCCCTGTTTTATATCCTTGTAAATTAAATATTTTTTTTGCAAAATCAATTTCAAAATGTCACCCCATTTATATTCACAAAATGCCCAATACACAACTTTTAAAAAGTTTACATTTCCCAGGCTCTCTTTTCTATCTTCAAAGTTTCAAATGATTTTAAAAGCTTTAGCTAATAATATCTCTAGATTGAGGCAATCTGTAAAATTTGTTACAATCCTGAATATATGTCCTCAGCATGTTTCACTTCTCCAAACAAATACTGGCATGTCCCTGAACTCACCTCTCCCGCTAAGCTAAGGCATTCAGTGAAAAGCTCAAAGCTGGTCATAAACAACAGGTCACACTACAAAGTAGGTCACTTGAAAAAACTTTCAAAGATCTCTTTGAACCAAAGCTAGCCCATCAGGAATATATGAGGACAATAATAGAAACATGCTACAGGGAAGTAGGGCAGTTATACTGTCCACCATCTGGTGTGATATTCTGTCAGTTGATAAAAAATATATATTTTTGTTTCATGCTGTCTTTGACATTACACTGCTGACTTGTTTCTTTTTAAGGCACAGATCAGTAAAATAGAGTGGCTTAAAACTAAATGTGAGCTGACACACACCCACCTGTCTAGGAAAATATCTGGCAGCGGAGGGTATGTGCGCATGTCAGGGACCCTCTCATGCACTATGACCATGACAAAGGATGTGAACCCAAACACAAACACCACATAGATGGAGCTGAGCACTGTCTTCCAGTACTCTGGATCCAAACGCCTCGTCTGCTGCTTGTACTTTCCATTAGTGTACTGGTGATACTCCTCTCCCACTGGTGCTGTGTCAGTGCTGTCACAGTCTCTACCCGGGTCTCCATTACACAGCCAATCCAAACTGCCTCCGGAGCCTGTAGGAGAGTGGCCGTCAAAGGGAAGACCCAGCTCCTCCAACACATCAATGTTCTGTTTCTGAAGTTTGCGGATCGACACCATCAGCCGCTTGATGTCCCCCAGCACCTTGAGCTCCAGAGGTTGCGAACGGAGGTCATACTCACTGAGGGCAAGCAGACTGGTACCATCCAATCTGTGCTTGTTGCACAGCAGGTCCACATAATCACAAAAGCCCTCTTCTCTCAACCACTTGGCAACGTGTTTGGGCGTCCAGCGACGGACACTCAGCTGGGTCATTTCCTCCTGACTCTGAAGGCTGGAGAAAAGAACATCAAACTTTATAAGTGCAACTCAAAACACTGAGCTCTCCCTTACTGTTATTATCAGTTCTTTATTGACTTCCTCCCCGGTAAACAAAGGAATCTTAAGGAGAAGTAGGCACTATTAAGCACACTTCATTTTCACTGAATCAGCACTACGAACTCCAAACACAGCACCCAAGAATGCAACATAAACAGAAAATAACTTTACTTTATGACAAAATTATAGGTGATAAACAAGAATAAAACAATTTCCTGAGCTTCACAAGCAGGTTAAGGTTTCACAATTTGAGCAAATACATGAGGCAAACAATGGCAAGAATTTGCTATAAGTTTGCACAATGGAAACCGCACCCTAAAAATCTAGGTGAAGGGCAGAGACACTCCCCAGGCTAAACGGTGACTTCAACACTTTTGTGCTAGTTATGGAGAATGACTTTTCGGTTATTATCCCAAATCTAGTTCTTTGCTGACACTTCCCTACACACTGAACTGAGTAATTCACGTTTTATCTTAACTTCACTGTTAGTGACAACAACCCTGTCTCTAAAGTTTGTTCCCAGGATTGCCAAGATATCCTTAGAGTGTCAGTATTTGTACATGTTAAGGGTTTAAATTATATGATAGGACTGTGGCATTCGTGATTTACAACTGTAACTCAAATCCACCTGCAATGACCCACATCACTGGCTGTCATTAAGTTGGGCCTGGAAGCTAATTCTACTCCTAATTTCTTTCAGTATCTTGTAAGACAACTGGCCAGCCTGGCAGCTGGCAGTGTTTATCACCATAGGTATGCCTGAGGTAGTCATGAATGCAAACGAGAGCATCCTCTCCTGTATCACAACAACCCAGCCCAGCAGGCTAATTCAGTTTTAGCTAACGTTAGCTATCATGCTATTTGTAAGCCGTATAACTGCGTGCGCCTAATGCTCACTCACCCGGACTGAGATGTAACAGAAGACGATACGGAAACGTGTTTATTCAGCTAGCTAGCTAAACGGCATCTCACAAGACTCTGAAGAAATCGTAATAGCGTTTGCTGCGATAACCCGGGCTTGTTGGAAATCATTTCTCCCCTTCGCGCTGGTTAGCATGACTGTTGACAACACTAGGCGGTAATGTCCAGAATAGCTGCGCACGTAAAAAACAACTACATGAGGCTTGGCTCTAGCTGTCCAACAGTGGCACCTACTGGTGGAAACAGGTAACTGCATCGTCTTTAGTTCTGCAGTTTTGGGTTTGTTATGATGAAAAGCAATTAATTCGTTCAGTTGAAGGCCACAAATTGAGATATTGGCAATGTGAATAAAACGTACTTCATAAATATTTAAAGGTGTGAGGGTGATCAACATTTAGAATATAGGTCACTGTTTTAATTTTAGACCAGGAGCACCTGTCCCTGTCAGTACCAACAAGGTTGTAATAAAGTCTCAACAGAGTTTGAAAATAAATGTTGGTAGAAGAAATGATACAAATGAGGAGTTTCAGAGAAGCAGTTATTTAGGCAAATATAAATGTGCATACAGTCAACAATGAATAATCTACAGGAAAATAGTCCACTTTCTCCTGCCACTCCTTCTGTGAAAGAGTTGGTGAAGGTTTTGTATGGAGGAAAAAGGTTTGGTAATCACGCGGATGAAGTTTGGCCTAACCTGTTCATTGGTGACATGTAAGTCTACAGCATTGCTCTTGACAGTTTTTACCGTAAAAATAACCCCAGGTTTAGTTTCCTTCTAATGTGTTTCTTATTATAATTCCCGTTTCCTTTGTGCACAGGTCAGTGGCCAATGATCGCTACAGTCTATGGAAGCTAGGAATCACTCATGTTCTGAATGCAGCTCATGGGAGGATGCACTGTCAGGGGAGTCATGACTTTTATGGATCCACCGTGGATTACTATGGAGTGCCTGCAGATGACTCACCGTCCTTTGACCTCTCTCGCTATTTCTCTCCCTCTGCTGACTATATTCAGAATGCACTTAACACCACTGGCGGTAAATACCCATCATATTGCTTTAATGTCACTCATTTTTCATATGCAGGCCTCTCTGCAAGTCACCCATCTTATCCTGGATAAAATCTCACATTCAGCTCATGCGTAAGGCTCATTGTAATCTTATTCTTCACCAGCTCGGGTTTTTGTCCACTGTGCAGTCGGAGTCAGCAGGTCTGCCTCTCTCGTCCTGGCCTTCCTAATGATCCACCAACATTACACCCTACTAGAGGCCATCAATAAGGTCAAAGAGCGCAGGTGGATTTTCCCAAACAGAGGGTTCCTCAAACAGCTTTGTGCTTTGGATGTGAAACTACGCAAGACATCACAAGTGCACTTCACTGAATGAAATACCAAAATGAATTGATATTCTAACTTACAGAGCCTCAAATGCCTTTTTTCCTCAAGACAAATGAATGATTCAGTATCTGCCAGTGGAGGGAGATACTGTACTTTGATTTTAGTTTGTTTCAAGAATGATATCTAATCAGATGTATTTTCCTCAACTCTGCTGCTGCGTTTGATGTGAATCATGCTGCCTTTTCACACGATACTGATCCTTATATTAATAGATAAGTGTAATCAGCACTTGGCAGAGTACATTTCTTAACTGAATATGAGGCAAGATGACCTTTGTATTGTGTTGAAGAAAAATTATATCCATTATGTTGTGGGTCAAATTAACCTAAGAGATATATTTATTTTAAAACTGTTCAAGACTGTGTGTTTTTTGTTTTTTTGTGAATGTATGTGTGCTTGCACAAAAATATTAACCTCAATTTAATTTATATTTTAAACATATCTTATATAAACCTAATGGTAAAATCATTGCAAGTTTTCATTACATTTTGTATGTTTGTGTCGGATCACTTGTGGTGGTACCATTTTATTTTAACCCCAATTTAACATTTATAAGCAACATATGACCAATCAACAGATGGTTTACAACACACTCAAATTTATTTGTAAGCAGAGTTGACATTTTAAAGTGATTATTAGTGTAATTACCGATGTCACGGAATCAAACTAATAATGCTTGATAACTTGATGTATCATGTTTTCACGAGTTCTGGACAGATCTATCAATCATTTTAAACTTGCCAGTGGATTATTTGTACATGTGTATAAACAGCTAGTAAATGTTTATCATGTGTTTATTAACTGTTTATACACATGTGATGGATGTTTCATGGGAGGACTTGTAAAATATTGATGAAAACATTATTAAACACTTGTGTGACTAAGTGGAGTCTCACAGTTTGGCTAGCACAGCTGTAAACTCTTTTCCACATGTGGTGTTGGTTTCATTGTCCTCTTAAGGAGGCAAAACCCACCAACTTTCACGTGTCATGCCAACATGTCTCATAGTTGCAGTGGCTGATTCTGGTCTGGGTCTGGGTGGTCCAGCTTGAACGTTTTTGCACAGTAGCATCCAATCATAGAGCGCGAGCTAGTCGGCCTTGTCTCTGAGTCTCAGGAATGATGAGTGCCTTCCAACCACACGCCAGTGTCATATTCTTAGAGCTCAAATGTCAATTTTATGTAACCTATTTGAGCGCTGAACAACTTTGTAGGCCCAAGGAATACATACATTTTAAATTTCTCACAGTCTGTATTGACTTTGCTGTGGTGAAGGTGACCATGACAACATGACAATCTTTAGATTTCTGTGGTCTTCTACATCCTGTGAATTAGACATAGAATCCTCTTTAGAGAGAACCCAGATCACTAACAGCTCAGAAACATCTCTTCCTCTTATTATTGGTGCCTTTCAGAGTGAAATATAATTCTTATTTCCTGGTGAATCTTCTAGAGTTCATTTTTGTTTTTGAGAAATTGTGTGTTTAACACAGCTTCTCAAACACAAAGTGTATGCACAGAAACACTAACTGCAGCAACCAAGCCTCCCCACAATCAGAATCACAGTTTCACCAGCAGGTATGCATCATAATCTCCCAGTTTTTATGCACATACCCTGATGGGTTTTACTCTCACCACACACACAGACACACAGACACACACACACACAACTGTAGATTCATCAATAATCAGAAGCAACTATTCAGATAATTAATCCATAGCTGACTCCAGGTCAAAATGACCCAGAGACCTTTATTTACGGATTTTGCGTACAGCAGCACTGACATTTTACAACACATCATTGCGTCCACATTTTACATACACATTCATGACCCTGAATGAGGAAAAGTCATTACATTTCATGGCTTAAAAGATAGGTTAATTATGTTTTTCTTCAATTTAAAAGCTGAAATGGGTGAAATTGACCTGCAACATAATAGGAGGGTTAAAAGAGACATTTGCAGCAGTGTGAGTGCTGTTTGATGTCATGTGCAGCCAACGGCAGAGCTTAATGTTTTTCCCTTTTCATCCAATTTGCTTTCACAAGATATTAATGTCAGAGCAGTAAACTAGTTGCATGAGGCTGTTACAGTATTTCTGTTCCATAAATGCTGCATTATAGTGCACTTCCCGTCATCCAGTATAAGCAATGCACTTAAACATTTTCAAAATAATTACATCTAATTATCACTGCTTTATGGTGTGATTCATCTTTGTATGAGGATTATTAAATTAGAATCCCACAGCGGTGTGAAAAGCAGAACCCAGGCTGCACTGTTTGTTGTTCTGCCCTCTGCACGTGAAAGACTACACGCTAGGTTAAGCACTAAATTGGGTAACTGTCCAGTGACAGCAGATAAACACCTGCTCGTACAGATCACCCTGAGCTGGAGTAGACGGGAACTGCTTTAATACAACAAACATTTGGACCAGGATTCGATCCAAGACGGGGAATTTGGACTCAAAATGTCAGCCCTGAACGGCAAGAGAAAAGAATATCTGACTGTAAAGGATCTGCAGAAGGTTTTGGACTCATGTAAACTTAATCTTAATCAGATTGACGAGGTCTTGCCAAACATATACATAGGGAATGTGTAAGTATACATTTTATTTCAAACTTAAACCAGACTTTATGACTTTGTCTTGCAAGGAAATGTGAAAACTGTTACTTTTAAATGTTAAACACTTTCCCAAGGTCATTACCTTTGACATAGCTCCTGCCAAAATATCACTGACATAAAATCATTGTGCTGTGATGCTTAGCCTTCACATAAGTCTTGAACCTCTTTCTGTCTCTTTGTCTTGCTAGGGCAGTAGCCCAAAACAAGGCTGCCTTGCAGAAATTAGGTATAACTCATGTATTAAACGCTGCTCACTCCAAGCGAGGCAGCATAGGGAACCGAGGCTTTTATGGCAACGACTTTGTGTATTGTGGCATTCCAGCAGATGACTCGACACACTTTGATCTGGATGTTTACTTCCAGCCTGCAGCTGATTTCATTCATAAAGCTCTGAAGACACCTGATGGTAAGGTTTTTTTCTCACATAAATTATCATGTTTCTGCACATTGAGTTTTTATCATAGAATTCAGGAGCGATAAAAATTGAGTCATTTACTGCAAAAATATTGTCCTTTTTTTTAAATCCCTGCACATCACATCTTTTATTTCACTCCATAAATCCTTTATAAACCCATCCACTCAAATTCTCCCATCACATTGTCCTTTCAATGTCACCTGTCACCACAATGTAGCACAGCTTGTAATGGTATGTAAGTGTATTTTCAGCCAGCAGTAATAATAAGGGTCTTACCTTGCAGAATTTAAGTCTATAATGTGACCATGGCACCTTTCAAAGAACCTATCAAGCAGAGGACGAGTTGGGATTAAAGAGACAGTCGGGGCCCGTCTGCAAAGGGACCTTAAATGAACAAAGGCAATGAATTGTGGGCACTATTTTTAGCTCACAGCGGGAGAAAAGAAAGGCCACAGCGTGAGACGAGCAGCCATGTATGATATTAATAAGACTGAGGCCTCTCACTAATCCTTCCTTCACATGCCCCTCTCCCTTCATCTTGTCTATTCTTCAGGGAAGGTTCTGGTGCACTGCATCATGGGAATGAGCCGGTCATCGACATTGGTGTTAGCATACCTCATGATCTACCGTCACCTCCCGCTCAAACAGGCTTTGCAGAAATTGATCCAGAAGAGAGCCATCTACCCCAACAGGAATTTCCTGGCTTTGCTGTTGGACCTAGATCTTCAGCTGACAAGAAAAAAGAAAACTTGTCAGATCCTGTGATGAAGAGAAGAAGTTTACAGTCTTTGGCCACACAGCGAGGGATGGTGATGCCGGTCAGCTCATTGGTCCAACTGCCCAGACTGAAATATTTCTACAGCTAATGACTGTCGTGAAATTTGGTTCAACTAATGACTGACTTTGTCAGACTCAGCTGTACTTTGAGATTAGCACGGACATATCAAGATAGCATGTTAAACATAAACTTTTTTATTTTATTTTTAAATCAGAGAGCTGTATAACGCCACTGCATTTCAATGATTCATCCCTCAATTTTTTTATTAGCATGTTAAATGTTGATAGACTAACATAATTACATATTAAAGTGCTAAATATTAAAGAGGCAAAACCGGCACACGCAAAATCTTCATATTTAATCCAATATAACAATGTTGCAACACGTATTGCTGCTTCAGGTCAGTCTGAATATTAGAATCTTACATGACATGTCAAACATTAGCATCTTAACATGCTAACTGTATGCATTAACACGCTAACATACTAAACAATGCATGCTAACATTAGCAGATTAACATGCTATTGTTAGCATGCTAACATGTTATTGTAAATGTTAGATGCTAACAGTATGTTAACATCCAGTGAGCTAGTTGTTCACGTGCGTGGAAGTATGATAGTAGTAGACATGTCAATATGCTAACAAGTGTTAGCATTCAGTACAGCTGAGGCTGACAAAGTACATGTCAGACCGGAAGAAAGTTGAACCAAATCTGATGACTTACAGCAGCTGAGCCTGAAAAACTGTGTCTGAGATGTTAAGGTAACCGTAGCAACGTGACCTTTCCTCCGGCGCCACCCTCAGGCCAAGCTTTACATTTTTACCAAATTTTTGGAGAGGATCTAACAATGAATTGAAAAGTTGTCTCTCCATTAAAATCCAAATCTGTTGCCTGGTTTGTAATGAGCTGTCCTACCTCTCCATGGACTCGCTAACATGGCCATAGACTGACTTTCTTTTTGATGACAATGAATGTCTTAACAAAAAGACAGTTTGGTTGGTTTGGTTGAAACTTAGTGTAATGTGAAGTGAAAACAGCGACAAGAGCACTAATGCTATTGAGATTTTATGACTATTTATGTCTTGAACTATGTCTTTACCTCTCACACTTGTAAGATGGCTTTTTCTTCAGCACGTCAGTTTGTATCACAGCACAAATGGACCAAATGTCTTATGAAATTTTTTTTACAAAGCATCATAATTTAGTAAACTCTATAGATGACTCAGAAAAGAAAGGAAATGTTTCTGCAAGTGAACATTCAAATTCAAAACGGGAATCAATCCACAGCAACTGTCTCTTTAATAAGACCAACCCATGAGTGTTCACAGTATGAAATTCCTTGTTTTCGACAAGCTGGTTGAGCTGATTGCTACTGTACATCAACAGGTTTCCGTTCTTTTGACTGTCCTTGAAATTAACGGTGGAAACATTAGGAATGTCAGACACACACACACACACACACGCATCTACTATATAGTAGAATTTGACACCAGTGATGATTTCTACCTGTTTAAATGAGCAGCTCATTGCAAATAACCCATGATTATTATGATTAAAAAACAGCAGAATGTGAAAAACTACACTGAATGAAATTACATGATTTGCATTGCTCTGTATTGCAGAAGTTCAGCTTTAATATATGAGTTTCGTATGTGTATATTTTATTTGGATACAAGGAGAAAAAGGTAAATTTAGGAAGTTTTGCAAAGAATGTTTACATGATAAAAAGAAATGTTCATCTTTCTACACTTGTATAATTCTTTTTCTTATGTTTTTGTCAAGACTGAGTATGTGAAGATGTGTTTAAAGTTACCAGTTTTTCTGATGGTGTGTTGAAACCTATGGTGTGTGGTGTGTTTTTGTGCTTTCATTCATTTAATAATCCATATGTAAGAAAAAGAGATCAGAAACTCCTGACGACCAAATGTCCAGGTGCTGATTTAAACACATTTCACTGTGGAGAAGATTGTCAGTAAAGACTGTGTCAGATTTAAGCTGAAGCACAGCAGCACTGATCTAATTCTCTTGCTATTGAAAAAGCCGTGTCCTATCCTCCCTCCTGTGCTGGCAGCTCGGGTAACCTTTAAGGAATGCAGAAGATGATGCCAGAATTATTTTGGGCTGAGATTCAGATGTTAAAATAGCAAAAAAGGTTGCAGGGTAGATTACCAAGGAGAACGCAGACAGTTGTGCTGTCGACCTACATGTAGCTCTACAGAGAGACCTTGAAAAAGCGACGTTTCCAGCCAAGGCAAGTGTCTACTAACAATGTTTTCTTATGAATTTGTTAGATAGAGGTCCATGTTGGGAAATATTTTAGTATGTACATAAATTGTAGTGTATGGATCTCTTATACTGTGTACCTTTGTTTGCAAGGTAAACATGTTCATAAAACACTCTTATAAATATGAATACACTGTGATGACACTGCATTGCCTGATGGATTACACTTTCTTCTGTCATTAATTTGCTCACAAATCCAGAGGAACCACATCCAAAAGGCTAAACAGGGAGGTGTAATTCATAAAAACCACCAAGAAGAGGCCCGGAGGAGGTAAAAAGCCATTTTTATTTGCCCTCCATGTTAACCGTGGGCACTTTCCCATACATAGCATCTTTAATTACACAGAAGTAGAGCAGGAAGGACAGGTTAGCCTAAGGGGGGAGGCTATGAAAGCAGTGCTGCACTTCAACATGTGCACCAGGGAAATCAGTTCTCTGCCCTGACTGTGGGAGGGAGGGAAGGGTTGTACTTATAGATCAATGAGGAGAAAGAAGAGCCTCCAGGTACTCTGGGCACATGTTGTACTTGTGCAAAGACACACTTTCCTCTGCCTTCAAGACTTACATACTCATATGCATGGAGCGTACGCTGGGTAAGGTGCAGCTTTTCTTGCATACACATGCCCTGAGTGACACACTTGCAACCATGCACATGCAGAGATGGATAAAGCCATCATGATGTTTGAGTGCACCTCCATATGCCACAGCAGCTTAACAAAAGGTCACTGAAACAGATTTGGTCTCAATGACTCATCCCTGTGGACACAACAATAAGTCTCCAAACCCTGAGTGCCACATTATGTCTCCATACACCAGCAGAATGCAAATGAGAAGCTGAGCTGGGCTGCCATTGGTTTCTTTACTATAACAATGCATACACAACACTTGTACGTGCCGAGCCTGGAGCAGAATCACACAGCTGCCTAAATGGATGCTAATGTATACAGTATGCATAGTATAAGTCTCTCTAAAGCCCAGTGTGTAAATTGTAAATGCATAGGTTAGACTTGCGTGCAGAAAATGAAAAGCTGATGTTTATAAGCCTTGAATAACAATTTTCTGTATCTCTGGAGATAAATACATCTACCAAGTGCTACTGAACTGTAGATGAAATAATGAGAGTATCACAGGGTCATCTTACAATTATGTGTTCCTATGGGCCTTTTCAGCTGTGGAGTGCATTTATTGACATGATTATGGTCTATATTTAACGGCTGTATGCCTGCTATAATCCCACATCATATTTATTGTATTTATAGCTACCTAAAATGATGCCCTCAGTTCAATAAAGCCTATTAGAAGTTATCTGTGGAGTTATTTAGCATTAATAGGAAAATCTGATGGTGCCTGAAACTGTATCGACATTTCCTTTCTTAAACTGTAAATGAGCAAAGTAAAGAAAAAACCAAACAGTTTTGACCCTTTTGACGACTTCTCAGCACTCAGCGAGGTCCAAGTTTCATTGTAATAACATATGTTTTCGGTTAAACTCTGTGAGGATATGAGGATATGAGTATGTGGTACCTCTGTGTGGCAGGTTGTAAAAGCAGAAGTCAAGTGTCCAGACATGCCCAGAGGCCTTAGCTGCCTGGCGAGCCCTGAGGGGTTGGACGGCAGGTATGAGACCCCCCCGGCTTCAGAGCTCCAGAGGCTGATGTGGACAAAGACAGGGACCAGCAACCATCTGGATGAGGTTCAGCCCAGGATCTATATTGGAGACATGTGAGACTGGAACATAAAAAAATAAAAATAAAAAGTCAACTTTTTTTCAGAACCACTTTACACTTAGGCTAATAAAGGATTTACATTTTTTTATTATTAACAATGCCTCACTCGTACATAAATAATGTCATTTGTAGTGTTGAACCCACAGAGAATTGCCACCTGACTTGGTTGCCCTCAGCTCTATGGCACATTTCAGGGTCTCTCAGCCCATTGCTCGACCATATCAGTAAAAAAAAAAAAAAAAATGGCTAAACAAATCACTAGTATGGCACCTGCCTAGCATCAAACAGAAAAGTTAGCAACAAGCTGGTGAACACAATGGAGCATTTAGCCGCTACATATCCAGATATCAACAGAGTTAAAATTGCATTCATCAGGCGGCCATAAACACCACACCCAATAATTGATAATCCTGCTTCATGTCTGCCGAATAAATTAGCAACTGTTTACCAACAAGTTTGCCGTAAATATCGATGCTCACTCCTTGTTTCTGCCGCCCCCTAGTGGTAAAAAGCAGTTATCGCAGGTTCCACAAAGGTGTTAAAGTTCTTCAATAAGAAGTTAGAAGTTGTACAGTAGCTTTAAGTGGTCATGAGACTTTGAGCCCAAATGTAAATGAAACAATGCTGGACCTTTCATTAATGAATCCTTCAAGTTTTCACCTGCTATGTTTTTGTTGTTAGACACCTATGCTAATAATTAGCACATTACCTTGTGTGTTACCTTAAAAGACAAAGCAAACTACTGTTTGTTACACAAACCAAAAGGATCCACAATGTGTCATAAGTTTGTCTAATTTATGCACTAAACAGCTTATTACTGACCTACAAAGCATTAGTAAATGTATTATTAATCATAAATATGACAACTTATAAATTATTTATAAGCCTTCCTTATTACACAATAGACACATGTGTTGTTTACTATCATGAAATGTGCTCATAGAGATAGCCAACCCTTCTTTCATTTGCCTGCACTGACAGATAATCAGGCAATGCTTTTTCTCTTTAGGTATGCAGCCAAAGACAAGAGGACACTCCAGGCTCACCACATCACCCATGTACTTAACGCTGCTGATGGGAAGTTCAACGTGAACACGGGGCAAAGCTTCTACAGAGACACCAAAATCACTTATCATGGAGTGGAAGCTTTTGACATGCCATCCTTTAACTTGAGTCCCTTCTTTTACCCAGCAGCCAATTTCATCAAGAAGGCTTTGAGCTCGCCCACAGGTGAGGAGCTCTCACTGTGCTCAAGGTATTCCTCATCATTTTTACACATTAACTTGGTGAAGACATTTTTTTTCTGCAAGGTAAGGTAGTGAAACATTTGTCAGTCAATTCCCATTACAGCAGCCCCCAGTTGTATTAGTCATTAAAATGCAAATCAAACACTAAACATAATATCAAGCTAATATCTTTCCCCCACGGTAATCTTCTCATAAGCTCAGACCTTGGCCAGGAAAATTGGTTTTAAATGGATTGCCCTGGTAATTTGTAAGCAACACTTTTATTGGACATGGAAATTACACAATTATGTTTGTGGCCTGTGCCTGCCTGGCCTGTTATGCAAAGTGAAGTCAGTATCTGACATGACAGTAATAAGATGAGGCCTCCTCCTTCACATGCTGGCTGATCGGGGGCTCCAGTGTGTGGCGGTGCCTACAGTAATCCTCGGCAGAAATACACAGACGCCAAGACAGTTCAATTACGCGCTCCTCTGCGCCCTAATCCTCAAGCCCGATAAGGAACCAGGGATTACCGTGTGTAGAAACATTTGTTGCAACATTGTTGAAAACTTTTAGTCAGGAGTTAGAAGTACTCTTCTCTGTGATGTGCACAGCTTTTTAATCCATAGCGGAGTAACAAATTAGACAGTTAGAATAAAGTTCACCACAATAATCCAGTCATTGCATGGTTGTAAATACAGACAGGGAGCCAGCAGGGATTGGCTGAGCTCTGAAATGATCCACAGGAAATGGATGTTGAGTTTTTGTTTCCACTGATTGGTAGGTAAAGTGTTCGTCCACTGTGCGATGGGTCTCAGCCGCTCGTCCACGTTGGTCCTGGCCTATCTGATGATTCACGAGAACATGACGCTGGTGGATGCAATTAAGGCTGTCAGCGCCAACAGAAACATCTCACCTAACGCTGGCTTCCTGGAGCAGCTCAGGGAGCTGGACAAACAGCTGCACTTCCAAGGATCATCGAGGAGCTGCAGCGCCAATGGGCGGACTTGAGATAAAATCAGGTCATAATCGTGGATTACCATGTTGCCAGTGTTTCACTTCCAAGTTGCTATTTTTTTCTGAAAAAATGTAAGTACCCTATACTACATAAAAAGATAAGCCTGTAACTCCATCGTTTTATTGTTATAAACAAATATCATTGAAAGACCAAAACCAATAATGAATTTATTCTAGTAACCACTGTCTGTCTAGACACAATCAGGAACTAATAAAAAAAACATAAAAGATCCATGGAGGTTCACTGGATGTCATATTACTTTTTTTTTTACAATTGCCTAAACCGATCTCAAGGTTGCACTGCTTTTTCAGCTGCTCTTTCCAGTGTAGAGGTGAATTCCTTAAAGATACACTGAGGAGTTTCTGATCACTGGTAGAGCTATGGAGCAATGCTATTATGAGTGAGTCCAGTTTTGTTTGTGCATGTGTACGAGGACACACAAGCCTGTGCAAGGCAAGCACTGGGCCCATGAGGTACACATTCCTGCCAGTGGTTTTTCACACTACTCCACTGACTGACTGATGGTGGCAGTAAGGAGGAGACATGTGGTAATGCACCAACAAAGGCAAGGAAGAAGACTGCAAGCTTGCAATAAAATAGCTTTGCAAACATTTCATGTATGAGGAAATACATTAACACCTTTGTTACACATTTAGAATACACACAGAAATAGTGAATGTAAACACAAAAAAACTCCATAGGGCACCTTTAATGTGCTCAGAAAAAATAGAAAATATCAGCATCTATAATTCCATGACAAATGGGTAGAATCAATCTGCTATCAAAAATCATGTGATGTGATGGAAAGCTCCAAAATCGCTACTAAAAGGAGCTCGAGCTGAAATCATTTAATCAAGCTTAATTCATCAAGCTACACTAGTTTAATCTTGCGTAGGTTATTTCTCTCATCAGTGGCAACACTACACTATGTCCCTGTGTATGCTCAGTCATGTCTGTAAAATAAATTAATTGTTGGTTTAGTCTCGTCAGACGATTTGTTGTTTAAAATTAAAAGCTGAAATAACCTCAGCGTTTAGCTTTAAATTCCCTGTGTTAGGTACAAATTGATGTGGTTTGAAGTGACTCAGTGTGGAAGCCAGACAAAAAAATTCCTCTCTATGTTTTGAGTCACATTACAACTGTAAGCACTGCTGTGGTTCTGTAGTTAAAGTTGTCACAACACAAGCTGCCTGGCTTCTGTCACAGTCATCTGAGGAATAAATAGTCCACATTGCTCCTGCCCCAGACTCTGGCATCTTCAGCTGTCTCATTCCAGCGGGGCTCAGCCTCTAAACAACACTGATATCCAGTTCAGATGGAAAACAGAGCAAGCAGCACCAATATGGTTCATGTTTACTAAATGCCTACAGGATGAAAAACAGGAGCAGGGGAAGCTGCAACGACTTCACAAGTTTTCCATCCAGGAACATCGAGTATTTGGGGAAGTTATCTAACTTTAAATTTGTGTAATTTGTGATAATTATATGACAGCACCAAAGTGAAAGATGCAGATATGAGCCCAGAGGAGGAGCCAGAGTATCAGACACCACCCACCTGCGATCTGCTCAGCCGTCTGCTGACGAACAGACGCCCCACTGGAGCTGTCAACGAGGTTTGGCCCAACCTCTACATCGCAGACGCGTGAGTGACATTCTCACTTCAGGGCCCCGCTGCAATATGGTGATCTGATTGTGAAACTGTCGCTGCAAACAAGTCCTCTATTTGTCCAACTGATGGGACAAATATAGAATCTGTACATTTCAGTCACCAGTAATGCATTTGCAAACATATGCTTACGGAGCTGCTCAAGGGCAAGGGGAATCACAACAAATTGCATATCTTGTATCATCTCTTGTGTTGTTTACAGGGCTACAGCTCAGGATAAAACCCTGTTAGTGAATCTGGGAATAACACATGTAGTGAACGCTGCAGATGGCCCCCAGCACATTGACACGGGGCCATGTTTCTACAAAGACACCAACATACTGTATCATGGAGTAGAAGCACCAGACTGTAAAGATTTTGACTTAAGCCCATTCTTCACTGAGACGTCTGATTTCATTCATGGCGCTCTGAGCCAGAAAGGTAGGAGTCCGTTTGAGCCAAAGAAAATATTAGGAGTGTAATATAAGACTGTATATCATAGCTCAGTATACTGAGGTGTAAAAATCTGGCAATGTGCATCATCAAGCTGAAAACTGGATTGTAATTTTAAATAAATCTGAGAAGTTATGGTTCAAAACTTCTGTTTAGTCTGCATGTACAAAACGCAGGAACGAATGAATAAATGTCATCCATCAAAACTAAACTCTCACAGGTCTACGTTGGGGTTTTGTGGCCAGCTGAGTTGTTTGCTGTCTTTACAGAAGACACTGATATTTGAGGATATTTGAGGTGACACTGTCTCTTGTCTGCAGGTAAGGTGCTCGTCCACTGTGCTCGAGGAATCAGCCGCTCGGCGACTCTTGTGTTGGCCTTCCTCATGGTCAAAGAGAGACTTACCCTGGTGGAGGCAGTTGAGGTCGTGCGTGAGCACAGAAACATTCTTCCCAATGTTGGATTTCTGAACCAGCTCCGTCACCTGGACTCCACCGTGGCCCTGCAGAGGAGGACAACAAAAACATCGAGAAGTGGAGATAAGAAACCATGAGAGAGACTTTGGTCCAGTGTGATTGCTTGAATGTTAGAGAACAACTGTTTCCTCAGTTTTTTTTTTTTTTGGGGGGGTGTTTTTCATTATATTTCTGTGTATGTTTAAAATCAGTTAACATACTCCTGAAATTTGCTTAAGTTGTCTAATCCATCACATCAAAAGTTCACATGTTGACAACTTTAACTCAAAAATAATAACATAACTGACAAAAAGCAAAGTGAAGAGTTTATTAAATTAAACTCAGGCTCTTGGGAGCTTAGAGGCTTCAAAATTTCACTTTGTCTTCGGAGCGTCATTATTCTGAGACCGTGTGAGTTACAGACGTGCCGTTCTTTTTCTCCTTAAACTAGACAACTGGCGCTTTCTAACAAACCCTTGCAACTCACTGACTTCGATCGATACACCGATATTAAAAGTGACGAAATATTTGGAGTAATCTTACCGTTTCTCTGGGGCTTTGCTACTCTCTGCGTGTTCATTGATCGACTCTCATCCGCATTCCTTGCTAGTTGCGTCTACAGTCGCGTCACTCAATTCGACATTCCTATTGGCTCCAGTGGGTGCGGTCACAGCCAATCAGAGTGTCTGATTCAGAGGCTTCGCCTGCCTTGGCTGTGTGCCTGCTGTATACCCAGACCACTGCTGTTTTATTGTGAGAAGTTGTTTACTGAAGTGACAGGGTAAAGACAGAAGGATGTGACCAGTCAGATGTTTAGTGCAGCAGAGGCTTTGGAGCTGATTTTTTAGGGAGAAGACAAAAGACGCCCCTAAATGCTGCTCCAAAGAATGAGCATAAGTCATGAACAGATAGAAATAGAAACTTGAAAAGACCTCTAGAACAACTCAGACAAATATGTACAACTTTCTGTGTTGAAATTTTCCTTCTTTATTATGGTTTAGAGTGTTTTTATCAAGGTCCATTTTCTTTTCTTTTCTTTTTTTCTTTTTTTCTTTTTGTTTTATGGGCTATTAACCTCTATTATACTTTCCTGAAGTCTTTATTGGGTGGGTTAAGCTGATTCTGAATATGTGTTAGAACTTTTAGAAATGACAATTTTATTAAGAAAGGTTAGCTGTAGACCTAAAACTTGAGATTTAGACTCAAATCATTCTCACGAACAAAAATGAGGACTTCAGACTTGACTTTAACTTTGCCATGAGACCTAATGAACTTGAGACTTGAGTTCCTAAAGACTTGACATGATGTGACACTTTCTGCTGTCTTTTTTGAACTGATAAAATCCTGAAACAGTAAAAACTAAAAATAAACAACAGCCATTGCAATATATATCATTTTCACATTCATTGACTATGGCAGTCCTTGAAAGGAATTGATCTTAGACGTGTTAAAGCACAGCTAAAAACTGCTTTGAGGAGGAACATGTTCACATGCCGTGTCGTTTTAAACGTCAGTATTCAGTTACCGGAAAGACTTTCATTTTGCTGTGACAGACTTGACTTGGACTTGTCTCCAATGATACAGAAATAACTTGAAAAGGTTTTGTTTTCATTTTGGTTGGAAATGATTGAAAAACAGCCAAAAAATATAGAAATAATATGTAGTTAAGGAACTTAAAGATACAAAAACACTGGAATTGTCCTTTAAGCTCATGTCTAATACACAGCACAATCGATATTACAGGGCCCATTAAAACAAATGTGGCACAACTGCCAAAACCCCTGCTGTACTCGAACAACACAAAGACAGTGGTTGCCTATAAATAAACAATGCTCCACTTATTTATTCACATTTCTCAAAATACCAAGTCTTAACTGCTGCAATCCAACGTCGTACAGTTAAAACTGTGATGTCTAAAGAGGCTTGATACAAGATGACAAAAATATGCCAGCATGGTTCTGAGCGTGTATACAGATTCAGGTCAGACTTTGAAAAGAGATGAAACGCTGAAGCCATCTTAATAAGAGATGCTCTCCAGAGCACGCTGGGAGACAGAGAGTGAGAGAGATGCTGTCAAAATAAAAGGAATTGGATATCACAGGTTTAATGATTTCACTGTCAGAATGAATGATGGCAAAGTATGAAGATATGAGGGAAAAATAAAGGAGTCTGATGGTGTGAAAACTCTGTCTGACATGTTAGCAGCTTCATCCAGCCATTCTGCAATACAGTCATCATCACACTCTCACTTTGGGGGCTTGCATTTAGATCACTGAATGGACCATGCATATCATATAACGGGGAATCAAAGACATGTGCCATCCTGTGAAAAACCTCATCTGTCTAACAGTCTGACACATTTCAGTTCTCTTTTGGCCCTGAGAGGCTCCAGAAGATGCAGAACATCCTTAACGGGTGTTGTGAGGCAGCGCTTACATGGTTTCTCCCGGCGTCTGTAGATATGCAGAAAGGCTAAGAGAGACTGACACAATTTCCAGGAGTTGTTCATACGGCTGAGCAAAAGCTCAGAGTGCCCTGTTCACTCCAGTGAATATGGGTATCCTTTGGCAAATGCAAAGTTTGGATAAGCACAGCTTCCTGCCAGCAGCAGAGATTAAAGTTGTGTGTTTAGAAGTGGATGGCAGGGACTGGCTGGGTGGAAGTTTTCCCCACAGGCAGAGAATGTGGCAGCTAAGGTCAGGGGCCCGCCACATCACAGCCCTAAAAATATCCTCTGCATTTGATGCCCGTCACAGAGCGGTTATACAATCTGTGCCCTGACTTGAGCCTGCCAGAATTAAACCTTACCATGTTCTGCCTTTAAGGACTGCTTCACAACAAGCCGCCACAATGATGAAAACAAAGTGTTCGAGTAGGAAAACCAAGGATTCCGATCTCTCGGTGAGTGGTACTGAAGATGCATGTGAAAGACAAAAACCAAAACCTGTATATTTCTTTTTTCATGACTGTAGATGGAAAAAAAAGTGGGAGAAAAAAAAAAGCAAGTGTGGTATTTCTTTTTCCCCTTAAGCTAATAAATCATGTGTGAAAGGAAGCCACAGTGAGAAAATGGCTTCTCACAAGTCAAAGACTGGCACCAAGATAAATGTTACAAAGGCAGCGGAGGAATCCAGTCCAGTGGATGAATATGTCACACCTGGGGGCTATGAGCTGGAGAAAATCCTCAACCGTGGGAGTGTGGCTTACACTCATGTCAACGAGGTCTGGCCTAATGTCTACATTGGGGACGAGTAAGTAAAAAAGTATGAAATTATTAAACTGAATAAAATAATAGAGGATTAAAATAATATTCACACATGCTTCTTGCAGGGAGACTGCAAAGGACAAGCACAGTCTGAAGAGGCTGGGGATTACGCACATCCTGAATGCAGCAGAGGGGACGTGGAATAATGTGGACACCGGAGCTGGGTACTACAGCGACATGGACATCGTCTACTATGGCGTGGTAGCAGAAGATGTCGCGACCTTTGACCTCAGCCAGTATTTCTTCTCTGCTGCCCAGTTTATAAAAGAAACACTGAGCAATCCTCAGAGTAAGACGACCCACAGTTAAAGGGTGTTTTCACACATATCATAGAACTGACTTTGTGGTATCTGGTCTTCATAGTTTTGGTTTGAATGACGGGGCTTCAGGATGTTTGCACCAGAACACCCACCACCGCCTGAATATGAAGTAAATCTTGTTAGTGGTGCTCAAAAGGACTTTGTTTTTCAAGCCGCAAATTAAATTTGATTCGTCCTTATCATACTGAGCAAAAGGTTTTGGTTGTAAATGTCTGGGTTTTCACTCCATCTGCCCTCAGCCTTTGCATGAAGGCACGAAAGGAATTTTGGTTTGTGAAGCTCAAAGCAATGGAAAACTAAATTTGATAAACTCTTTTCTAGGGGCAATGTCCTGGTTTCTTACCTACTGACCTTGCTCTGACAGTTTTCATAGAGACAGTTCAATACAGTTGTTTTCAAGGGGACTGTGAGAGTGAGGACTGAGGATAATTTTAGACAATGTGTGTTTGAGGACCACAAATTAAATATGGTTGCAGAAATTTTCTGCATGGCTAGATGCCACTAAGTTTGAAACAAGTTCTTTGTAATGTGGGTGAGCTGACCCGTTAAATTGACAGAAATAAGAAGAAATAAGAAAAAATGTATAATGTAGCTGTTCCCTCATTTTGTGACTTGTCTGCAGATAAACTGCTGGTGCACTGTGTGATGGGAAGGAGCCGGTCCGCCACACTCTTCCTCGCGTACCTCATGATCTGTGAGAACATGACGGTGGTGGACGCCATCGATCACGTGAAAAAGCGCAGGCGGATCATCCCAAACTGGGGCTTCCTGAAACAGCTGAGAGAGCTAGACATGCACCTCCTGGAGAAAAGAGACTCTACTGAGCAGAGTTGATTTTAAGACTCATGGGGCAAGTCGAGCCTCAGGTGAAGCCTCAAGTCAGAGGATACAAACTCAAGTCAGGTTTCAAGGAATTGGAGACAAAGTCAAGTCTCATTCAAAGAGTCAAAAGAAATTTAAAACAAGTTCAAGTTAAATCTCAATTCACTGGAGACAAGTCCAAGTTAGGTCTCAAGTTATATCAGAACAGTTCTAGTTAAGTCTGAAGTCAATCAAGACGAGACCTGGTCACGTCTCGGGGCTACCACAGCAACGCTCAAGTCCAAGTCCAGTTCAAAAGTCATTAAAGACAAGTTCAAGTTAAATCTGCAGGTTTTTAAGGTCTGAGTGTTGACCATGAAAATAACACAGCATATGAACCTTTTCCTTTTGTGTTGTTACCATGTCTTTTTCATATTAACTAATGATACCAAGTCATTTTTATTAGAGACCTAATAATTAAATATTCAGTGTGAGTGGTCATTCAAGGCCTGTCTGCTGGTGTCCCATTTATTTTTTTCAACTTTACCAGGTAAAAACCTCAGACGTCAATGTCTTTGCTTTGAAGTTTTCGTGTCAAGTCCAGTTTTCTGAGGGTGAAATTTCAAGTAAATCAAGTGTCAGAGCAGTCGAGTCTGAGTCGAGTTTCCTTTTTTACTCATGCTTTTTATTTAAAAATACTTTTCTGCAGAGAAAACAGCTGCCCGGATTATCAATGCATTCTCATTCTGTGACACGCCTCAGGCTAGCAAATGTTTCAAATTAAAGGAGAACAATCAAGTACATGGTCAATCATAATTTATTCTTATGCTAAAATGTACAGCATTTTTAAGTGACTGACAAAAGGAGAAAAGTCATAAATACAAGAATGTCATTCTGTCCGATTTTTGTGCACATAGCCAGGTATTTCCCCCCTGTTCTTACCAGCAACTCTGTACAGGTACAAAGGCTACAAAAGAGCAATATAAACAAAAACACAAGTACAAGTTGCGTTTTACATGCAATCCATTAGCTTAGTTTGGTCTATTCACAGGCTCTATTCTTCTACACTTCGGTAAAATATAAATCCAACATTTTATAAAGATAGAAAACAAATCTACAGATGGAATGAAAACGTAGCTTTAAAGGCATTATGTAAAATATCAACTTTGGACTAAATTTATATTTTTCTTTATTGTTATTCATCGTTATAATCATTTAGTTCTTTTTAAATTCTGCCACACTTCTGGACATTTTGAAATGTTTTAGAATTTTCAGGGTACAAACACTGAGATATGCTTTGTTATTTTGACAGAAATCAGTCTGCTTTATTAAACAGAAAGCTGCCTCAAGGAGATCTGTTACAAAAGACTTCAGAATTATACATACATAGCAATAAAACCTCTCAAACCGAACAGAAAACAGGACTAAGTTTACATTTTTTTACATTATTAGAATTAACAAAATATAGTTTCATCTTTCTCCCTGTGGAGGGAAACCTAATAAAGGCCAGATATCTTTAAAATGGCTTGCTATTAAGCACAACACTTGTACAGTACTACTCAATGCACTGTCACTAACAGAGACTGAAGCATGCTAGTTGTCACTTTACAAAATAAGTACAATAATTTAAATATACAAAGGCATGAGTATAGTACAAACTAATTGTCAGCACTGTTAGACAGGTACACTGAACAGGTTCAAACAGCCACTAACTCCACTTGTAGCAGGCACATTAAATGGCTTCATTTGAGGCTGCTACACGACTGCAAGACCACTGATGAAATCTCTACCTCTGAGCTCTGAACCCGCCTGCTCTAAAAGACACATCAGAGACACTAACACTAATTAAATAGATTTTCATCGTAATGATGTAAGGCTTCCCATCTGGAGGAACAAAAATACTTTTTAACATTAGCTTCAAAGTTTACTCACTGATGAAAATTTTTGCATTCTTTCCAAGTGCTGCTGCTGGTTTTTAAGTAATAAACAATAACAAAAATACACCAAAAGAGAAAACAAGGCCAGATCAGTGCATCTTTAAACAGCAAAATGCACATGAGAAGAACCAGCTCAGTCCTGCGGAGAGTTACCGCCTGATGAAAGGCCCTTTCAGGGACTGCTTGGACATGCCTGTGTTCATGTAACCATGGTGACCAGCTGGAGTGTACACCATGTTGCCATGTGGTGGAGCCTGCATGGGCTGCTGGGGGTATGGCTGTGTTCCCATCATGCCCATCTGCATAGAGTACTGGGGTGACTGGTTCATATAGGCATGGTTGCCATGGTAGCCGCTGTTCATCATGGGCTGGCTCATGCTGTAGCCATTCATGGCGTTGAGGGAGGGCATGTTCATGGAGTTGACATTGTAGGCTGGCGCCGGCATGATATTCACACTCATGTTCATGCGTGGCATGGCGGCCAGCGTCCTGGATGGCGCCTGCATGGCCACAGTCTGTGGCGGTCGGGCGTACATCTGCTGCTGGTGGTGTGACAGCGGGGCTGACTTGGAGCGTGCCGAGATGTGACTCTTGGAGGCCATTTGGGGCTGGATCCGCTGCGAGGGCGAGATGCCCATATTGCGCTGCAGCATCATGGGTGGTGGGGAGCTGAGATTTGGGGGAGGGGTCATGGTGGCCTGCACCTGTGGGTTGGGGACTCGATGAGGGGTCTGGGACAAGGAGACCAGGCTGGAGTGCTGCGATGATAGCGAGGGGGTGTTTGCATAAGATGTTATGGGGTGTGAGGCCGAGTGGTTGAAAGGCAGCGAGTGAGGGTGGTCTATGAACGTGTTGGTGAACTGCTGCAGTTTAGCCAGACTGAGGCCAGACGACTGGGAGTAGTGCCCGCTGCCGTACTCCCCCTGGTGGTTGATCCTCTCGTAGAGGGCGAAGTTTGGGTTGCCAGATTCAGGAATGTCTGCCAGCTGCATGGTGGTGGTGAAATTGGTGGGTATGGCGCACTGTGCCATGGACTGCTGCTGGCTGTGCTGACTGTGTTGATTGTGAAGACTATGCTGAGGGTGCTGATTGTGCTGGCTGAGCTGATTGTGCTGCAGGTGGTGACTGTGGTGGTGACTATGCTGGTTGTGGGGATTGTGTTGACTGTGCTGGCTTAGCTGATTGTGTGGACCGTGCTGATTGTGTTGGCTGTGCTGATTGTGTGGGCCGTGCCTGCTGTGAGAGTTGTGTTGACTGTGTTGGCTGTGCTGGCTGCGCTGGCTGTGCTGACTGTGCTGGCTATGCTGGCTGTTGCTAGGAGGCCTCTCCACCACCACACAGCCCTGTGGCGACTTAACGTTGCAGTGTGGCGGCGAGCTCAGGCTGTTCTGCTGAATCATCCCGCAGCTGCCGGGGTTGACGGCAGCCATTTGCTGGCTCACGGCACAGCTGCTCTGGGCCAGGCCACTGGGGGGGATACTGCCATAGGAACAGCTGTTCTGGGTGGGGCCTGCCCCACAGATGCTGCCCCCCATGGTGGAGTCGTAGCTACTGGGGTTCTCGTAGTTCTCCGTGGTGCTCTCGATGCTGCCCAGATCGCTGAAGCCACTGTCCACCACCTGCTGCGAGTGATCTGAGACAGACGGCACATCCATCATGGGGCTCGTCTCCATGTTGTGGAGCGAGGGCACTGAGATGGCACTGTGGTCGGGGCTGATCTGAGTGTAGCTGCTCTCCAGGATGGAGACAGCCGGGCTGTTAACAGAGCGTACCGACTGGCTGGGATGGGACTGCGCGGAGGAAAGGGGACTGCTGTGGTCCGACTGGGGGCAGTCATCCAATGAGGTGAGCTGGGGGCTCTGGGCCACATGGGCGTAGGTCTGCAGGCTCCTGCAGGGCTCCTGGCTCTCCACACAGTCTTGGAAAACAGTCTCCCGCTCAGTCTCCTGCGTCAGGGACTGAACAGCTTGGGCCGTCTCTGAGTCAATCTCTGTGCAGATTGGGGGATCCTCCCTCAGTACGGGACTGAGTGTTTGCCTCTCTGCAGGCTGAGGAGGTGGGTGATCCGGACAGGGACTTGGCGTGCTCTCTTCCTCTGACTCAGAGTCTACAGGGTTATCAGAGTCTGCGGCTGCTACTGAAGCGACTGCTACTGCTTCAGGTTGTGGTGTTGCTACTGTTGTGTCTGTCACAGCCTCCTGGATGCTTTCTGCAGCGGTAGCTGGCTCCTCATCACTACATGGTACTGTAGAAACCTGCTGACTCAACTCAGAGTCATTGTCTTCTTTTGGATCTAAAAAAGGTGGGGTGCATTCAGCTATTTCTTTCGAACTCTGTTCCAACTCTGCCTTGCTGCCCTCAGGTTCTGCTGTCTTGCTGTGACTGTCATCTTCATCATCTGCATCCTGATCCTCTATTTGAGTTCTCTGCTCGTCCTCCTCGTCATCTTCCTCATTGTCATTCTCCAGTGATACAGCACCCTCTGTGCTGCGTTCCACATCTTTGGCTGGGAACTCCTGCTCGTGTTCACTCTCTTGCTGGTCATCTTCCGGTGGTTCTGGGGAATCACTTCTGTCCTCAGGCCTGGGGGAAAAGGCGCCAGGAGAGGCGGCAGGCGAGCAGACCGGAGAGGCTACCGGTGATCCTTCAGGGGAGCTTGACTTCTGGGAGCCATGGTCAGCAGGACTCGGCGGCTCAGAGGGGAGCCTCTCTAGCGTTATATCTGGACTAGCCGAGCCTCTGCCTCCTTTGCTGCCCTCATCTCCACTGACAATATCCTGGTCTGGTTCATCCTTTGCTTCTTCTGTCTGAATATGGTGCTGCTCCGCTTCCATAGGGGTTTCGGGGGGTGTGTAAAGGTTAAGCTTGAAGCCCATCTTTCGTTCATTCTTTAGCCTCCATTTAGGAGGGCCACGTTTCACTCCTTTGGGCCAGCCTTTCTTCCGTTTCACTGGACGGGGTCTGTCGGGTCTCTTAGAGAGGACGTCAGCTCCTACAGATCCAAAATAACGATAATAAACATTTTAGTGTTTTGCCAGAGAGATAGAACAATCTTCTATAAAACTATTTTATGAGAAATAATTAAATACAATAAGTGTACAAGTATTTTTATAACAGTCAAGATGCAAATACCGTCATTCCAGTGTTCAAGATTGTCTTTCTGTGCATTTTTCTCCAGCCTCGGGCGACCTCGCCGCCGTTTCATTGGTATAATCGGTTGCTTGTCCTCCTGTTCCTCCTCCTCCTCTTCTTCTTCTTCTTCCTCCATCTCGCCCACTCTGCAGGTGCGCTCCAGCAGGGGCATAGGACGCTCATCCTCCGAGTTGTCGAAGGGCTCGTTCAGCACCTCAGTCGTCTCGGAGATGGTTTCTGTTGTTACACTGCTGTTTATTCTCTTTCTTTTACGCCCTCTCTTCTTGAGCACGATGGTTCTCTGAAACACAAATACAAGACCGGTGAAAACACAGTCAAATCTTATCAAAGCAGTTCTGCAGACTGGAAACTAGGGCACTAGGTGGATGACCTCCATGAGGATATAGCAGAAATTCATTCAAGCTTTTGTGCTAAATGTAAAATGTCAAAACCACACTGTGAGACTAAATGTTTGAGCAATGCAGCCTAGTGTGGAAAACCACAAATGAGACAGGCAGAGTAAGGAGAAACCACAGTCTATATTTTACATTCTCCAGTTGTTTCCCACCAGCTGCCTGCGATTCAACCACTCTTCTCTCCGAAATCCTTCACAGGAAGAATGTGAAATCAATACTGTAACTAATGCACTAAATAAACTCCAACAGCCACTGTCATTCTTTTCTGGTTTCCATACTGTTTTTTGCTGACAAGGTCTCCCTGACATCATGC